GCTTGTTTGGCTGGCTGGAGAGTTGTGGGGATCGAACTAGAGCCACCTGAGGCTGACAGCTTGATGGAAGCAGCCACTTAAAGAACTGAGCTAGGGCCAGGCCCCCTAGGTGGCTGAAGTTAGATAGTCAAATTCTCTGTCCTCATGGAGTCCAAAGGAAAACAGATAAATACTTGTGCAAACAGATACACCGTTGCAACTGTGATAAGTGGAAGAAGTCCATGGGTGATGTCGTCATTCATGTAATAGCGGGGCAGAGTGGGGGTTATTAACTGGCTTGGATATGGAGTCAAAGAAAACTTCCTTGGGAGGTTTTACCTGGGCTGGAATCGGAAGGGTGTAGATGCTGACTGGGGGAGGGGTGGATATAGGGAAGGGCTCTCCTGGCATAGGAGGAGCATCAGGAATCACGAGTGCATGGCAGGATGGAGCATGGAGTATTATGGGAACTGATGGGGCCCAGGGTGGCTGACTGAGTTTGGGTATCTCTATTTTATTAAAGCAGATGGAACACAGGCAGCACCTGCTTCTCCCGTGGACTTGAAACCCTCTACCCACCTTGTGATCCTACCATATATCTCTCTCTGGGTCCCAGGTGACAGACCCCCAAAAGGTGGCCCCCTCAATTCTGTAGGAATAGAAGAATTCCCCCAGGGCTGCTCAGGAGGAATGGTTCCAGGGTAACCAAGAGTTATGGCATCTGGTGGCACCTAGGAAAGTTGGGGGGGGGGTGCACCAAACCTGGCAGAGTCCTGAGATAGAGCTCCAGGTAGGAAGTGGTGAACTCCGTGACCATGTCGCAGACCTGCCAGAGGGGAAGAGAAAACTAGTGAGTCCTTCCTCCCCTGCGCTCCGCAGTGGTGCCCCAGTACCCCCAGCTCCACCTCCAGGAGGTACCTCTACAACCCCGCCCTCGAAGTACCTCTGGGTATATGCTGGAAAGGGTCAGAAAATGTAGTGAAAAGGATAAAAAGGCCATTGTCTCCATCGATATGTAGCACTTGGTCACTGCAGAGCCCAGATTAAATTCTGCCACCCCCACCCCCGACCTCTTCGGCTCCTCTTCTTGCTCAGATCCTGAAATCTCTCCAGGACCCAGCACTATGGGAAGAAGAGGGCTCCCTCAGGGAGGAGGGCATCTGATCTGCACGCAGTGCTGACCAGGTCACTCGAGGGCCCACAGCAAACCTGGAAGAGGGGTCAGCCTAGGAATCCCCATTGTCACTGGCCACTCACTTATTCCTGGTAAGTTATGGAATTCTAGGCTGGGGCTGTCTGAAGCTCCTCATCTGGCAGCCTCTTGCTTCAGCAATTCCTATACTACCTGCATCAATTTGCCTTTCCCCTCCCTGTTATTTACTTAATATTTCTTCATGCCAGTTGGCCTTTTCAGTTGGACATACATCTAGTAAAAAATACAGATGCTTCATATCACTATTTTTAATGGAAAACTGGTAGTCCTTGGCATAAATAGGATGTAACTGGGAAAATGAATATTGCATAAGGGATTAAAACAAAGTGTCCTGGAAGATAGGCCTGATGCTGCTGCCTAGTTAGGTAATCCCCTCTGTTAGGAAAGAAGATTCAGGATACATTCGTCTTGTACTGAGACTTCTTGTCTTTGGCATGAGAAGAGAAAGAGACTGCAAAGGGAATTGCTTATTTTTTTTTTTTATTAATTTATTTATTTAGTGTGTGTGTGGCCAGTTCAGCCCACCAGGGGGCGGGGCTGGCTGGCATGTGGTGCTGGGGATTGAACCGCGGTCCCTGTGCTTTTGTTTAGTTTAGCTTGTTTTAAGTAGGTGCTTTAGACCACTGAGCCATCTCACCAGCCCTGGGAATTGCTTATTCATTCTGTCATTCTACATAATTTAATACCAAAGCTTCAGATCACTTAAAATCAGCTCTCTGTGGGAAGCTTCTTCATTTTGAGAGCATTGTTATAATGTAAAAATCTAAGGCAGCCCAAGGCTGCTTGGTGGACCTACACTGGCTTTCCTGGAGCACTAAGCCAGGGCAGCACAGCCCAGGGAGCCAGCCCTCCCAGGACATGGTCTTAGCCATCTTCCCCCACGCCCCCTGGACAGAAGTCCTGTCTCGATGGAGCCACCTGGATCTCTGCACTCATTGCCCTTTGGAACTGAAGTCACATCTGAAGAGTCCATCCTTGCTTCAGCCTCCCTGGCACTTGCCTGATTCCCCTGGACATGTAATATCCAGATTTTTCTGGCCTATGTTCCTTATGTTCAAAGAGCAAAGATCACAACACAGGGCTGGTGAGATGGCTCAGTGGTCTAAAGCACCTACTTAGAACAAGCTTAGCAAAGCACAGGGACCGCGGTTCAATCCCCCAGCACCACATGCCAGCCAGCCCCGCCCCCTGGTGGGCTGAGCTGGCCACACACACACACACACACACAAATAAATAAATAAAATTAAAAAAAAAAAAAAGATCACAACACACATGCAACTAACAGGGAGTTTAGCTGGGTATGAAAATAACCTCATTGGTTTATGCCTTAGTCCTAGGTATTAACTATATCACATCTCTTGGTCCTCACAGCAGGGTAGATGCTATAATTTTTCCTATTTATGGGCAGGAATCCTAAGGCATGGAGAGGTTCATGTGGTTTTTCAAGACTTTGAAGCTATAAAAGTGGCAAGCTGGGATTTAAACCACAGCATCTAACTGTTGAACTTGTGGCTCAACATTGAAGGGTTAAGTGAGTTGGTGCTCTAAAATGGTAACAATGCTTGGTCCTTCAAGCGTGGTTTGGAGTCCCAGGATCCCAGTGTAGCTATCTAAATGTACCCATGCCAACTCTCTTCAAGGTAGGGGTCACTGTCCCCTTTTTAAAAATGAGGAGACTGAAGCTCCAGTGAATTCACTGAGTTGCTTCAAGACATACAGAGGGTAAATTGAAGAGGCACCTTCACAGACGCAGCGCTTTTCGGAGGTAAGTGACCCCAAAGGCCATTGCCATTGTTCTTCTCCTTGTGGTGCTAGAGCAGTCACATTCTCAGGGTGAGAAAGATATTCTAGGTTTCCATCTAAAACACTGGAAGATTTATTTTGAAATTTAAATTCTTGGACCACCTGCAGTTGATTTTTTTGGTAAGGTTTGAAGGAGGGACCCAAAATTATTTCTCACCAATATTTCTCTAATACTACCTACAATTAGATAATCAAATAATACTTTGTAAGATAATAACATTACACTTTGATGTGTAAGTGTAATAATCAAATAACACTCTGTAAGTTCAATTAACACAAACTTGGGAATTGACATTTGCCTTTGCATTATGCAAAAAGACTTTGCTAAGCAAATTCAAACAGCAGCATACTTAAGAGAGAAGGCTCTTTCCAAACAACCAATATGTAAATACCAGTGACTCGTGTTAACCACCAATCTGCTTATCCTTTTGTTTACCTTTTCTTCCAAGACCATTTTGATATTGTTTTCAATTATTTCATGAAAGAGATTTAGGATCCAGCTAGAGAAAAGAGGCGAGATGGTCAGGATATATTTTATTTTTTGTTATTTTTATTTATGTGTGTGTGTGTGTGTGTGTGTGTGTGTGTGTGTGTGTGTGTGTGGCCAGCTCAGCCCACCAGGGGGCGGGGCTGGCTGGCATGTGGTGCTGGGGGATTGAACAGCGGTCCCTGTGCTTTGCTAAGCTTGTTCTAAGTAGGTGCTTTAGACCACTGAGCCATCTCACCAACCCTCAGGGTATATTTTATTATGAATGAAAGGCTGCCTGTGGAGTTGAACTTTCTCCTTTTTTTTTTTTTTTTTTTCATCAATGGGACCCAGGCAGATAAATTTAATCTGAGGGAGGATGACTCATAGTATATCTACATACATCTGTGGTTTGACAGAATCCCTACCTTTCCTCAATCCATGTCTGTATTTTCCTGCTGTGTGGTTCAGTGTGGCTGACCCTATCCTTATCCCCACATCTAAGTATGGATATAGACCATGGGTCTGTCAATCATGGCTGATGACTGATCCAGGAGTACGCATGTGACCCAACATAGACCAATGAATGACAGTCTCTCCCCCCTACCCCCAGTGTTTTACCCGAGGCTGTATGGGGAAAAAGGCAGGTGGGAAATGGCCCAAATTTCTGAGCCTTGATCTGGATTAGTCTTAAAATCTTGTTCTTTTGCTCCATCAGATGAGCTGAATCAGGGGGGAGCTAGTTGCTGAAGCAGCAGTGAGTGTTTTCAGAGAGTGTACATGGGGTCACCTACCTTAAGCTTCCAGAAAGGTGAATGCTGATGTGGCCAATGGAATTGCTACACTCGGTCACTGAGGCAGTGGGCCGTCCAGACTGGTCCTTGTCCAAATTCAGAGAAAGTGATATGGAAATGCCATTTGCCTTCAGCTCAAAGCTGCCGTCTAGGGTGCTGGTTGGGAGCAAGACAAAGCGAGCTTCTGTATGAGGGCGTTGCCTTCAAGAAAAGCAACCGGAAGAACACAGACCCAGGTGTCCACTAACAGGCTTTCGTTTTGGTCTGGGTCTCTGCTTACCATGAATGAAAACAGCCTGCATTATGGGATGTGCTATGTGCCAGGCACAGTGCTAGAAGTAGGTTATTGTTAATCCCATTCCACAAATGATGAGACTAACGCAATCTGGGTCTCTTATTCTAGACATTTAAGACTCCTGAAATGGGATCCAGGGAGGGAGAATGTGCCCTGCCCAAAGACCAAAGCCGAGGAACATCTTAATGAAGTAATACTCACATGAACGCCTTGTTCACCTTCCAGTCCCCACCCACAGACATGTAGCTATTGGACAAAAAAACTCCTATACCCAGCTCTGGAAGTAGATTCAAATTCCAGTTCTGGAGCACAAAGCGATGGATCTTCAGGCTAGGGAAGGAAGGTAGATTGTCAAACCCAGAAAAGCCAGGGGCCTGTCTATCTCTGAATGGGTCCCAAGAGCCTCCTCTAGCCTCTTTAAGTCTCTTTCAATTGTGTTACTTAAACCACAAAGACCAGAATCTGGTCATCTCCTGTGTAGCTTTCTAAGTCTGCTCAGCCTCTTCCTTCTCAAGGGAGCCCTTCCCATCCCTCTGAGACCAAAGACTTTTCCTTTCCTTTGACACCACCCTTGTAGCAGTTCCTGTGAACTTCAGTGCTGTGAGAATACTGTGAGCTGGCTTTGGATTTTGGGTCCTCTTTTTTTTTTTTTTTTAGGAACCAGGGATTGAACTCAGGCCCTTGCACTTACCAGGGAAGTGCTTATTCCACTGAGCCATCTCCCCAGCCCATGTGTCCTCTTTACAGCTAGGGTGTCCAGGAAGCATCTGGCCCTTCCCACTCTCTTGCCCTATGGCTTCAAATAGGAAACAAGGGCTCAAGGCTGAGGATGCAGCGCAGTGGCAGATCACGTGCTCACCATGTGTGAGACCCTGAATTCTATCCCCAGAACTCCTAAAACAAATAACCGCAAATGCTCATAATGTAGATCAGAGGTTACTCATTAGTAATCTATGGGCTGTATGAAGTCTACAGATCTTTCTTTCTTTTTTGTTTCTTCTTTTTTTGAGACAGGATCTCATTTCAATTTGTTGTGTAGCTCAGGCTGGCCTTAACCTCACAACAATCCTACTCAGCCTCCCAAGTGCTAGAGTTTTAGGCATGTGCCACCCAATCTGGCTTAACCTTTTTTCCTAGGATTTGTTTAAAATTTTTTTTAATCTGTTGTTGACATTT